GTAAGCCATCTGTTTGGTTGGGTCCACTATTTGGGAAGCCTGAGGGGAAGAGACCTCTGGGGAGATCTAGACGTAGATGGGAGGATAATCTCAGGCGGGATCTATGGGAGATAGGAGTTGAAGGAGACTGGATTTTGTTGGCCCAGGACAGGGTCCGGTGGAGGGCTTTGGTTAATTCGGTGATGAACCTTCGGGTTCGGTAAGCCATCTAGTTAGTTAGTTAGTTAGTTATAAGTAGTTTCCTTGGTTATGTAACGATACTGTACCAACTGTAACGTCAATTAGTGCCGAATGAGATAAAAAGGCTGATTCTGTAGGATGAATCTGCTCATTTTCTAAGTCGCTTACTTACTCGGTTGTTTCAGGGGAAAAATAATTAAGTTGAAAAAGACTGCATTGTGGCTAAAGCGATTTACGTCTACTGCCATTCCGTTGCTTAGCAACGGTTTAATCTGCCAGGAGTAGTTACTGTATGGCGTTAATAACAGCAAATAACAGAACGTCGGTGGATAAGATATCGCAACAAAACAGTAGCTTCATTATTTCGGTGGGGTTTGCTGTTTACGGACATTTTCAGTAATTTGTTCTCGTCGACTAGGGCAGGACCATAGACAATATTAATAAAACAATAGAACACTGGGCTAAAGGAACATATGTTCGGTGCTCAACCGAAAAGGGCCAAAGCCAATACAAATTGTGTTTGACTTGAAAAAAATTAACTTGGAAGACCAAGACGTAGATGTAAGGATATCACCTGCTGTCAACATCTCAGGCCAGTAGCAACAACGAAATGAATAATGTAATAGGAATTTTCAAACCAACAGTTGAATTACATGTTACAGTTTCCGGTACTGAGTCCCGAAAATGGGACGCTTTATGCTGACGACAAAAGTACTTTGTCTCCACGACAAGAAGGAATGCACCAAATAAAACAATAGATCTTCTTCTTGTGTGTGCTAAAAATTCGGTCCTTCTCTATTCTCTGCTTCTAACTTGCTTAATTAGCAAGCTTTGGAGTTGCACGCGGCCGACTGGTCTCGTCACCAAAGCCACTTCGCGTCTAAATTACACAACTTCGGTTTTGTCGTGCGGCGAACTCAATACAACGCAGAAAAGAAACTCTTTGGTAACAAAGGCAAAACGATAAACACCAAACCCATCACTGGGGACGTTCGTTGGCTAATTACACGAAGTTCGCACACCCATAACATATTTCTCTTCGATAAATTTTAACATTAAACTTCTATCTTATCTGAATTTCAGGCGACTTCTTTCCAAAAATAAATAAATAAACTCCAAAATTCTGCACGTGTTTCATGTTTCGTCTACCAGGACTACACGTGTAGTCCATTAATTACACGAAGTTCGCACACCCATAACATATTTCTCTTCGATAAATTTTAACATTAAACTTCTATCTTATCTGAATTTCAGGCGACCTCTTTCCAAAAAAAAAAAAAAAAAAAAATTAAACTCCAAAATTCTGCACGTGTTTCATGTTTCGTCTACCAGGACTACACGTGTAGTCCATTAATTACACGAAGTTCGCACACCCATAACATATTTCTCTTCTATAAATTTTAACATTAAACTTCTATCTTATCTGAATTTCAGGCGACTTCTTTCCAAAAATAAATAAATAAACTCCAAAATTCTGCACGTGTTTCATGTTTCGTCTACCAGGACTACACGTGTAGTCCATTATTAACGCATTCATGTACCTACTCAGGAGAAAGAACGGAATTTTGTACGCTGCCAAGTTCTTTGTTATAAAAACTTTATTTTCTGCTTTATATATTTTATCTCTCAAGCAGTAAGTAAATGTGCCAGCTGCTTTAACGGCCAGTAACTCTGAATTTTGTATTTATGGGTTTTGTATGTAAAGTATGAAGATGGCTGTCTTCTGGGATGTCCGTGTAGTGTGGGAGACGGTTCAGAAGTACTTTCTGCCTCCATTATCAGGGCAAAATTTTACC